AAGATCGGACTGTTTGCTGATATCGAACTCAGCAAGAACGAAGGTGTGTGTTCTCCTGTTGGAGGATTTTCAGTTTGGTCCAGCTGCTTTTAAACGCCAGGATTACAAAAGCAGTGTGTGTGTGTGTGTGTGTGTGTGTGTGTGTGTGTGTGTGTGTGTGTGTGTGTAGCTCTGATTGCTCTGCTGCGTGATGGAGAAAGTCTGGAGGATCTGATGAAGCTTTCCCCCGAGGAGCTGCTGCTGCGTTGGGCCAACTATCACCTGGAGGCAGCCGGTTGCAACAAGATCAACAACTTCAGTTCTGACATCAAGGTGACGACTCACGAGGACCGCAGCCGTCCAGTCAGCCCACTTCAGCAGATGTATAATAACTAGTGGACGTAAAGTCTGCCCATGAAGATTAATCTCACCGGGCAAAGTCGGTTTTATATTCTAACAACTTTTACTTTAGTTTGCATTCATGTTCGTGTTTTAGAGAATGAGGTATTCACCTGCAGCAGCAGTGATGGCTCAACTGCTCTAAACTATTTCAGGACTCCAAGGCCTACTACAACCTCCTGAACCAGGTGGCACCTAAAGGAGAGGAGGAGGGGATCCCCCCCATCACCATTGACCTGTCAGGACTCCGGGTGAGAGACCTGCTTTACCCAGCGGCTGTTGTTCAGCCATTGTTCTCTTCATTTAGCATCTGATAACATTTCTGAGGGTGAGTGAAAACTCCCTGGTTTCAAAGCTACAATCATGTCAAGCAGCAAAGTTTTAGGTTTTAGGGTTGCTGCAACTTACACAGGCTGCAAGGTCCAGTGTTTGCCACACAAGCCCAAACTACCAGCCCTCCGCCACCGTGCTGACAGCTGGTGTGAGGTGCTGCTCTGTTTGGGAGCTGTGTGTTATGGGAAATCTGGTCCAGAGGGACCTCCTTGGTGACCTGTGTCCTGGGTTCTTGACGATGCATTTGTGTCTGCAGGAGAAAGAAGACTTAAGGAGAGCGGAGTGTATGTTGGACCAGGCTGACCGACTCGGCTGCAGGCAGTTTGTCATGCCGCCAGATGTTGTCCGTGGCAACCCAAAGCTCAACTTGGCTTTCGTCGCCAATCTTTTCAACAAGTACCCAGCTCTGAAGAAGCCAGAGAACCAGGACATCGACTGGAGCTCTATTGAAGGTGAGTTTATCTTCAAGTATCTTGATCATGTTCCGTGTTCCTCCTCTGCTGTTCCTGTTTCTATCTGCAATTTCTGATGTCCTCCTGCAGGTGAAACCAGAGAAGAGCGGACCTTCAGGAACTGGATGAACTCGCTGGGTGTCAACCCTCGGGTCAACCACCTCTACGTGTAAGCTCTGCGCTGTTCTTCTGCTGCATCACCATTAAAAATCCACCAACTGGTGTGTGTGTGTGTGTGTGTGTGTGTGTGTGTGTGTGTGTGTGTGTGTGTGTGTGTGTGTGTGTGTGTGTGTGTGTTACAGAGACATTGATGATGCCCTGGTGATCTTCCAGCTGTACGAGAAGATTAAAGTACCAGTGGACTGGGACAAGGTCAACAAGCCGCCCTATGCCAAGCTGGGCAGCAACATGAAGAAGGTCCAACCACAGTAAAACCTTGGATCTGTTCCTTCTGCTCTGCAGCTTATAACAATAAAAACGGTTGTTTCCTGTCTCAGCTGGAGAACTGTAACTACGCTGTAGAGCTGGGTAAAAAGGAGGCCAAATTCTCTCTGGTCGGCATCGCTGGTCAGGACCTGAACGCAGGAAATCGAACCCTCACCCTCGCTCTGCTCTGGCAGCTCATGAGGAGGTAACAGTGACTCACTTCTGACTCACTGAGTCCTCTGAATAGACTGTCTCACTGTGTGTCTGTCCTCTCAGGTACACTCTGAACATCCTGGAGGACCTGGGTGACGGACAGAAAGTAACAGATGACACCATCGTTGGCTGGGTCAACCAAACACTCAGAGAAGCAGAGAAAGACACCATCTCCAGCTTTAAGGTAGCCCCGCCCCACAGCACTTCCTGTCAGAGTGTAAGGAACTCAACCGTTTTTATTCACAATGTCCTACCTGAACACCGTGTGCAGGACGTGTCCATCAGCAGAAGCATGCCGGTTCTGGACCTGATCGATGCCATCCAGCCTGGATCAATACGATACGACCTGGTGAAGGCTGAAGACCTGACGGAGGAGGAGAAACTCAACAATGCCAAGTAAAGATCCACCGACATGGCTTTTTCTAGAGCTGATGCCGTCATGTGGAGGTTGTGTTCAGTGCCAAAGAGGTCTGGGGCTGATTTTCATGGCCGATTTCTAAACTGTCACTAGTGGCAGGGGCTGAACAACATTTCTGAACCGTATCAACTGTTGAATCTAACTTTGAGCTCAATATTAAAAAGACATTCAACCAAATCAGTAAAAATAAATGTTAGCTTACACATGAACAGCTTTGTGCTTCAGTACTCTGGCTGCTGAACAGGTGGGTGCAGGTCAGAAGCTGCTCTCCTGCTGTGTCTAAAATAAAAAACTCTGGTTATTGTTGTGTCATCAGATACGCCATCTCCATGGCCAGGAAGATTGGTGCCCGTGTGTACGCGCTGCCCGAGGACCTGGTGGAGGTCAAACCCAAGATGGTGATGACAGTGTTTGCCTGCCTCATGGCTCGTGGCATGAGAAGCTAAAGACACCACCAGCCTGGACCTGATTGGATCACCGGCTGCTTACAGAACCAACCACCGGGACTCTCTAGTATCGGTCTCAAAACGTCCCACTTCTGGTTCCTAGACACAATGCCTCATGTAGAATTGATGCTCCAGCTTTGTCTCTATAACCATTTTTATTAAAGAACCTGAACCATTGTCTGTGTTTTATTTTGCAATTTTTTCCCAGAGTGCAGTCCTACTGCAACTGCTCATCTAGTTTTGAATTGTTCTAATTACAATATGCCACTAACCTGAAGTCATATGTAAGCAAGTAAGTAAATTTCATTTCTATAGCACTTATCACTGTTTAGCGTCATGAATGTCCTGTTTTTGACCTAAAGGTCATGATCTGCTGCGTCTGCACGAGCAGAGACATAAAGTCTCTGACTCAGGCCTAATCTACATGAGGAGTGGCCAAGGTCTTTCATGCACTCTGCTCATCTGAACTGCTTCACCTCTGTAACAGCGAAGATGAAGAACTATTTTGATAAACACATAATCAACAACTTTGTTATTACCAATAATAATGTGAGCCCAATGTTCAATCAATCTGTGAAATGACAATGTTATTACTTGATGTTATAATCCTGTGATCAGTAGTATTTTACAAGTTATTATAATCCTGGACATTTGCACTAGACACTGATGACACGTAATGCTAAAGTCACACGACACATTTCCTTTTGTCTGATCCAATCAGAACCTTCGTTTCTGGCTAGGCGTGGTTATCTGTGGTGTTTGTACAAACCCTCTTTTGCATGTCAAATTCTGATTCGCCAGTAAACCAAAATATGACAAAATAAAAACTATGCCACGCCACCTTTTCTTCAGTTCAGAGCGTTCTAGAGAAGTCTCGGACAGACCATCCGGACTTCCTCTTCAGCCATAAAGAACCTCGACAAGCTGGATAAAATCTGTTGCACGTTACACCTGACCGCAATGGTTCCTTCAGAATAAAAGCTGAACCTCACGACCCCTTCAGGGTCTCGCTGACGCCAGTGATATCCTGTCGTGACCTGGAAGCATTCCAAGACTAGTTTGGTCAGCACCGCTGCTTTTCTACCAGCTTCGGTTCCAAGGAGGGTCCAAGAGGACCTCGACATTCTGGATCTAACGGAAGCTTCCCCTGGGGTACGTAGACCGACAGATGGCGTTTCATGTGTGTTATAAATCTCCTACTTAAGTTTAGAGCGAAACATTCACTCCCACTCAGAACTAAATGCTTCTCCAGATCTGCTGGTTCTGACTAACATTACACACACACACACACACCATCCTCTCACGTCTCACTCCACCTTAGTCCATCAGTACACAGAGTGTTAAAGTTAGTCTTGTTTAAATTGTGTAGAAATAAATTTCTTAACTTTTATAAACCTGACTCTCTCTCTTTCCTCTGGGTTAATACGAAGTGTCACTTAATCCCTGCAATAAAAAGTTCTGATCTTCTGGTTGAAATAGTCAAAGATCCATCAGATTGATGTTTCATATTTCTATGGAATCTCACATTTATGGTTCATAAGTAAGATGTAAATTACCCGTTCTTTAGACCTGACATAGAACCACAAAGTGCTTCACATAGATCAAAGCAAAATAAAACATCATAAAATCACAATGATCTCAAAACAGAATTAGATTAAAGTCAGAAAAAGTTAAGTCATAAAATAATAAAATTTAATAAACAAATGAAAGATGATTACAAACTTGAGTTAAAAATAAGAATACAAAAGACTTTTATATCTGGTCTCTGGAACTTCTAGAAGGTTCTGGTGTGTGGACCTGAGGGCTCGGGTTGGAGCATAAGGCTTTAACAGTTCAGTAATATAGGGAGGAGCTTGACCATGTAGAGCATTGAAAGTTATAGTCAGGACTCTAAAATGAACTCTAAAGTTAACGGGTAACCAGTGCAGAGACTGTAGAATAGGAGTGATGTGTACTCTTCTGTTTGCTCCATTTAGGAGCCTCGCTGCAGAGTTCTGGACCAACTGAAGGAGGTCGAGGGCTTTTTGTTAAAACATGTGAAGAGTGTGTTACAGTAATCTAGACGGGAGGAGATAAAGGCATGGAGAACCGTTTCAAGTTCATGTTTTGACACCAACCTTCGCAGTTTGGAGATGTTTCTTTGGTGATAAAAACAGTTTCAGACCAACGTTTTTGAGTGGCCTTCAAGAGACATTGATTGGCCAAAAACACCCAAATTCCTTAAGTTCACCTTAAATGACCAAGTTTTAGACAAATCAGGGGAACCGTGCTCTCAGGGGCAATGATCAGACATTCAGTCTTTTCAGAGTTTAACTGAAGGAAGTTATCTTCTAGCCAGCTGGTGATCGCTGTTAGACACTCTAGTCATTCAGACAGTTTATAGAACTCAGAATCCTTAAAGTAGCAGTACAGCTGAATGTGTGACACTGTTGATTAAAACATCAAACCCATGTCCACAAGACTATGGACCAGACCATCACATCCAATGACACGATAACACACACCTGCTTGGTCTTGTGTGTGTGTGTACCAACAGTGTAACTCAGGGCCAGGGCCGGATTATCATTTCAGGGCACCCTGGGCACAATGTGCTTAGCCCCTTGTCTACCGTCTCTTTCCTCCTCTTTTTGTCTCCTCTTGTTGGTCTCCTCTCTTGCCAAAAACTGCTTTCTGGCCTTTCTATTACTAAATTCATATACAACGTCATCAAAGTCCAGATTCCTGACAAGCCGAGATTCAACAGCCATCAGTGACAGTGCACTGAGGCGCTGTTGAGTTCGTGTTGTTCTCAGTTCACTTTTTATTCTTGCCATTTGTGAAAATGATCGTTCCCCTTCACAATTTGTAACTGGTAGAGCTAGAAAAATCTGCAGGGCCACAAACACATTAGTGAAGATGGACTGTAGACTATTTTTTAAAAGAACCTGCAGTAGTTTTGGAGGAGTCTTATCTTGAAACACTGAAACTGGATACTTTCATCTGCCAGATTTTCATCCAGATCTGATGGGTACAGTGCAGTGAGTACATCAGCTTGTTTGCAGATGGCAGCCAGGTCTTTAGAATCCATGTTCAACAGGACAGCAAACTTTTCATTAATGTTCTTGTATGCATTCATTCTGTGCTCCAAACAGTTTACTAGGCTGTCAATAATGACACTGAATGTTTCCGCTCGAAATCTCCACTCCACTCGGACTCCTCTCGAGGGCCATGGATGTTTCCAATCAGAAAACAACGCTAATAAACTGGATTTTCTTCATTCGAAACAACATGCATGGAAAACAAAAGATATTGCCTGTTGTAGGCGAATATGTGATCCAATCACGCAAAACATTTTCTCCATTTGGGAGCTGACAGAACAGGATATCATTTGTACGGGAGCGCAGTTTACCCCCAAACTCCCATCTCGGGTCGAAGCTGGATATCTGCTCCCCCGATTATGAAAAGCAGCAGCCCCCCGACCGATCAGGATAGCGCGGGTGCTTTCATTCACTTTTCCGCACAGTGCTGCCGGGCATAGGCGTCATTTTAACCGGGGACGCCGGGGACATGTCCCCGGCAAAATTTGTGATTGGCAGCTGTGTCCCCCCCACTTTCAAAAACGCCTGCTGATGAGGATTTTTGTTTTACCAGCTCAGATCTTATACCAGGGGTCGGCAACCTGTTCCCATCAAAGAGCCATTATTACCCGTTTCCCACAGTAATTTTGGACGGACCTTAATAAGCAGTGACTTAAGTGAAGCAGGCAGGTCGCGCTAGAAAATTTAGTTTAAAAAGATGTCATAAATGTGTTCCCCCGTCATTTTTATTTATAAAATATGAAGTAAAAACTCACAATTTAATTTTCATTCATTTGTCATTAATATGTAGTCTACACCCGTGCGTTAAGTGGACCATCTTCCAGTAAACGCAAAGCATCCAGCCCACCTCTCCAAATGCGTAAAATGTGCATCACAGCCGCTAGTTAGGCGCGCCGCGCGCACCATCAGCTGATCAGCCCAGACATGAGCAGAGCAACTAGAGAAAGAATAGAGGATAACTGTGTCTGGATGTGGATGGAGATTACATTTTACAGCAGCCTGATCATCATTTAAATACGTAAACCATCACCTGTCTTCTAGTCCATGCTATCAGCATTATTTTAATTGATGTGTGTGTGTGTGTGTGTGTGTGTGTGTGTGTGTTTGTTTTCCACTTCAAACACTGGTCTAACCAACCAGACCAGCGTGTCCAGTAACACATTAATGTTACAATTAAACAGTTTCACTTCATGTAGGCTAGGAACATTTCACCTGCCGTGGCCCGACCGCATCTGCTCCACATAAACTTTGTGCGTAATCAAATGTCTCTACGCGTCATGCGTCTCCATATTAGAGACGGGAACAAGCGCTGTTCAGCCAGTTTCATAATTTCATAAAAAGAACATTTTTCCAAGTGACACATCCCTCAGAGAGACCTGGTTTCCAGACTGTTTCAGTGGGAGGAAATCTTATCGCATACGCCGTGGTTCTGCACTGCGCTGCGAACACCAGATCTTCAGCTCACTGTCCACCGTGGGCGCTCCGAGCCGCGCTGAACACAGTGTCCAGTATAAAGCTCTGATGTTCTGATGGGAATATTTTACCTCTGCGATGTGCGTTAACGATTAAAATGTCAGCTCATCCATGCGCATCAGTGTGCGTCAGGGTAATTCTTTCAAACCAAGCAACATCCTTGAGTTCATCTGTCAAAATAAACAGTCAAATGGAAATATCTGTAACCTGCCGTTTAACTGTTTTGCCTTCCTGTGAAGATTGTTGCAAAGAGAAACAACTAAACTTGATTAACCCCAGAGCCACCCAGAGAACCAGAGCGCATGTGGAAGGCTCCTCCCACTGAAGCAAGTGTTTTCCAAACCCGGTCTCTCAGAGAGACTTGTCACTTAGAAAATGTTCCCTGATTATGAAACTTTGGCTGAATAGTGCTTGTTCCTGTCTCCAATGTGGCGACGCATCCAGGAGCCGTCTGAGGAGAATCCCAGAATCTCACATCCTCCTCAGCTCAGAAAACGCCTATGATTACGCACAAGCGTGACTCGTCAACCCGATCTCACAGTAAGACCGGGTTGGACCTGTTCAGGTTTACGCAGACAATCTTTACATTTAGAATTGGCATACAGATGTAAAATTAATGCAGTAAAATATAAAGCATTTTATTTAAATATCCATTCATTATTTTACAAGCACAGAGAGACGCATCAGATGGATGGAAGAGCCGCATGCGGCTCCAGAGCCGCGGGGTGCCGACCCCTGTGCTAGCCTACTTTATTGTCCCCAGCAATTTTTAAACCCCACTCAAGTGTATGGTTATTGTCCCCAGGGTTGCTACTCAGCTTCAGGCAGGTGATTTCGTATCCAGGAATGATCTCCTTCCTCCACGAGGTACGAAAAGACCTGCAGCACGAGTGTTAACGATCACCCGATCAAAACATTTTTGTCTCCTTGTGCTGCATGGGGGTTTTCTCTCGGTGCTCCAGTTCGCCCCCAACCCAAAGTCCTGATGGATCTGCTCAGCTTTACATCAATCAGCATTCAAACAGCATTCCTGCAAGACACTCAATTTATCTAGTTTTTATTATTTTTCTGCTCCGCTGTATGTGAACCAAGTCTCTAAGTTTTAGGCTTTTAAGTGCAAACACCTCATCTCTGATAACTTTTGGGAAATGATTTTCATAACCATACAGAGAAAGCTCTGTGACCTCATGTGGTTTTGGAAACTTGTATTTAATGCACCATCATATTTTAGACCCAACAAAAGATGGAGGGGAGAAAATCCTTCTGCTGAAAATTATAATTCCTACAGGGAAACGGAAATGGTCAAAGTCAGAATCAGACAGATCCTTACACGTCACCAAATTCAAGCATGTTCAGTGTGGACACACCATCGACATACAAAAGCCCGCCCGTTTTTCTGCGGGGGGAGGTTGAAGCCATAAATTGAAGGTTCCCACCACAGATTTTTTGACCATGTCACAAATCTCATCATGCCTGTCACTCCGAGACAATCCAACAACGAGACAACAGGTGGAGCAGAAGCTGGGGCTGTTACATTTGGAACAGGGTTGGAACAAATGAAACCAATGTAGCTACTAGCTAACTTAGCTAATCCAAGAAGGGCTCCGGGGACCATGGTAGTCCACTTGCTCGGCCGACCGGCTCCCGTGTGACGCTGTAGTCATGCTGGCCGCCTGTGGAGATCTAATATGGACTGGGACTGTTAACACGCAGATCCTCAAACCGCTGCGATTGTAGCCGGGCACCGTGGCCTTTTAAATCAGCTCATGTTCCACGGCTGGAGATCAGTGGGACATTAGCTATATGCCAACCCAAAGCTAACAGGTTTTTCCAGACGTTTTTAGCAAAAAAAAAAAAAAAAAAAAAAAAAAAGTGACACCAAAGTAAAGGCACCTCTCCGGCTGGCTTAGTAACAAAAAATTATAACTAGGTAAGCTGACCGAGGACATCGGGCTTCGCTGGTCCACCGTGGTCCAAGATCTGTGGCCAGCTCTGGGAGAATTCATGAGAAGAGATTTTGTGTCACTGCTGAATCTAATCTTATCTAACCTAATCCAATCTAGGTCAATGGTTCTGAGAAGAAAGAAAATGAAACATTTATTTAAACATGTTGTTTTAATGGAAAACAACAACAAAAAAACCCTGGAGGAACATTATTTCTTTACATTAGAGCAGAAGAAGGTGAGGCTGTAGGTGGAGGGGAGTCCCAAGAGTTCAGTCCACATATGTACAGGATCTTCTCTGGCTGAGCGGCTCCTCTGATGACGGGAACGCTAGCAGTGTTGATCCATCTCGCTTTATTTGGCGGGTTTGACCTCAGACGGGTTTTCTCCTGTATCCAGAGTCTTAAGGAGGCGGAAGAGGCCGGCGGCTTCCCGGATGCGGCTGAATTCAATGCAGAAGGCCTGGACCTCGATAAAAAGGTCCTGGACGTTGATGATCTTGTTTCGGATCAGCGACTGGAGAAAGACACAGACCAGTCGTACCAGCCGGTTCTAGGAGAGACAGACATGGTGTCATCAGACCGGGATATTATAACGTTACACAGTTTACTGTTGTGCTGCTGAAGCTCCAGTCAGAAAAATCCGTTACCTGCATGTATTTGTCTTTGATCTGTTCACAGGTGGAGATGCAGTTGGAGATGTAGAGGTGGATGAACTCTGGGGGCAGGTCAACAGCTGTGGTCAGTCTGATGGAGGTGGGAAACAGAAACACAATGAAGAGAGTTAGAGCTCTGACCTCAGCCTGCTGAGCTGTAACAGACAATCATCTCATCTGAAGATGATTCAGGGTTAAAGAATCCATTCAAATATCAGGTCTCAACATAAAACACCGCAGAAACAAGTACAGCGGTAAAACACAAACCATGCAGGTCAAGAGTTGGAACAACGGGACAGTGACAGCCCCCCACACAACAGCAAGACCCCGTGTCTCACACAGGAAACTCACAAAAGACACTTTAGCCGAGCCCTCACCTGTTGACCACCTCCATGGAGTGCAGGGACATGTCCATGTTCACCAGGACTGAGAAATACTCTGTGATCTGGCTGCTCTGCATCAGCTTCAGCAGCATCTCGATGGCCACCAGCGGGTTGTTCTCCACCAGGTCCGGCAGCTTGGCCGGGCTCAGCCCGATGTGATAAACCAGCTTCGGATCCTTCTCCAGCTCAGCCAGCAGCTGCTTACACAGGTGGAAGAGACGGTGAGGAGGACAACCACGGTGTTTATATGATCCAGCGCTCCTGGGAGTCCAGGACCCACCTGAGACTGCTGCTGAGCTGACAGCGGGCTCTTGAAGGCCTTGGACATGATCCGTTTGATCTCCAAGCCGGTGCTGTTCTTCACACACATCGAGCGATCCCACTGGATGCTGTGATCCGGCTCGGTGGGGTTCAGCCACACCAGCTCATCCTCACACACGTGGAGAGGCGGCGGAGGCCGGATGAACTCGGGCCGGAAGTGACCTGAAAAACAAACAGGTGGTGATGCGTTCTGAAGCTGATGCGGTAACCATGACAACCCAAGCAGAATCTTTACACACCACAGCTTTAAGGAGCTCTGAACACGTGTAACTTCGTCTTGACCTTCCTTAACCTCCTCAGGCACTCGGCAGGAAGCGTGAATAAACAAACTCTAGGTTCTCCTAATCTGTTCTGAAGAAATAAAAGTGAAAATGAAGACCACTTACTCTCCAGGGGAGGCCGCGGTCCTGTGACCAGAGACTCTATGATCTGATTGGCTACGGAGCTGTCGAACCCTGAGTTGGAGGAGTCTGGGTCTGGGTCATTCAGGATGCTGGGGAAGCTGGCTTTACTCTGAGTGGGAAGCTCCGACTGGCGCTCTGTTAGACCAAGGAGCAGACATGGAAACGGGTCAGGGGCTGAAGGTGAGAGCGACACGACCATCCTGGTACGAGCGTGTAATAACGTACGTAAACACGCTCACCATCAACCAATGTTCTCACCTGACTTACAAATGACGTGTTAAACATTAGCTCCTTGTTTGGAGCAGAACTATACACGACGTAATGGTGAGGTGCTTAAAGAGCGGACATGATGAACCAGGACAATGATGATAAATGACCCACACTTATTTAGTGCCATGAGTCAGAGGACTCCAAAGCGCTTTACACTACAGTGCGTCATTCACACACACGTTCACACACTGATGGTGATGAGCTACAGTGTAGCTACAGCTACCCGGGCGGTGAGCCGGGACAACCCTCTGATTACTGGACAACCCGCTCTACTTCCATGTAACATGTTTTATACGTGTTTTGTGCTCGATCAGCGCCTCAACTCGAAACGCATCCAGCTCCTGGTTTTATTTCAGCGGCTCTGGCCCACAGTTGCTTGTTTGCAATTCCTTTTCTGATGCTGGTGTAGGTATCAGATCCGCTCAGGGACCTGCGCCTGTTGATGACATCACACCACAGCAACACCACTGGAACAAACTACATTGCAACTCATTCTTTAACTACCTAAGTGCTAAAAACAACAACAGACTCTACCAACAAAACAGCTCATATATGTGATTGTTTTACACTGTATTATTAACACCTGCAGCTGTTGGTGTTGAATTCTTCTACTTCATTTGTTTGTATCCTGTTCATGTGCTGCAAACTGTCCAGGTGTCATCTATGTTTATGTCTATGGTGTGTGTGTGTGTGCTGCAGCACACGATCACTGTGAAAGCAGGGAGAGGGATGCCCAAAATGCCTGGGACAATTATTACATTAACTGATGGGACCTGTCACTGATTAGTTTAGAGATAAGTTTCTCAGGCTGATAAAAAATAAATCATCTCTGAGTGACGCGCCGCTGCCGTACACTCTCCCACAGCACCGCTGGAGGGGACTAAATAACCATTATGCAACATATGTGGGCGACGGTGGCACAGGAGTTAAGTGCTTGCCCCATAACTGGAAGGTTGCAGGTTCGAGCCCCGCTCAGTTTGTTGCTGTCGTTGTGTCCTTGGGCAAGACACTTAACCCCCCTTGCCTGCTGGTGGTGGTCGGAGGCACCGTGGCACCAGTGCTCGGCAGCCTCGCCTCTGTCAGTGCGCCCCAGGGCAGCTGTGGCTACGTCGTAGCTCATCCCCACCAGTGTGTGAATGGGTGAATGACTGATGGCGTTGTAAAGCGCCTTGGACTCCCAGGACTCTAGAAGGCACTATATCAAATACAGGCCATATTTTTACCATATGTTTCGATTTATTTTAGATTATAAGTGCACCGTATAACTCTTAGTCAGTATTTGCAAAATATTTATATCAAGTTGGTATTAAGTAGGCTTAAATAAGTTAAACCTCAGCCTGAACCGGGGGTAGGCAACCCGTTAGGTGGGTCTGGATGGAGCGAGTCTGGTCTCGAACGGGCGGTGTAGTGTTCACGTATAAATCCGAGCGACTTCTCAGGAACGCAGAAATCCCCGAGCCTGTGGGCGGTGATTAATACGCGCGGGAAAGTCCGCGGTGTCCTCCATAATAAGGTAAACAAAGGCGGGCACGAGCTGTGTTGCTTTTGGAGACTCTGAACCACATTAGTTTATTAATTTTCTGTGTGTGTCCTCATAATCTTATGCCACACACACACATATGCACACACTGCTTTCTCCCCTGAGCAGCTGTCTACTCACTGGGGCAAGAGCTCTGATGCAGAGGACAGGCACACACACACACACACCCCGACCTGCTAATGCGAGCTGCAGCCCACTGATGTCGATGGGCTGGGGCATGTTGGTGATGTCCATGCAGGACACCTGTCTGGGTGTTTTCTTGAAGAGGTCTCTGGGTGGTGCCAACATCAGCTGGGACAGGAAGAACTTCTCTGGCTGGGTGATAGGCGGCAGGAAGCCTGAACACAAAATCACCACAGGTAACAGGTGGGGCTGAATTCATCTCCTTAGATACGTAGATTTTCAGTAAATGTGCAGGAGCAGTATTAGCAACTTGTATTTCCTGCCATTCCTCTCATAGACGTATGGGACTCCATCATGGACTTTGATGTGTTTATATTTGTGTTACCAGTATACAATGGCAATGAATGGATTTCATTAATGCCGGATTATTTAGTCCTACCGGACAGCGCCTTCTCCTGCTCCTCTCCTGCCGGAGCCGGGTTCAGGACGTGGGCAAAGACAGCAGCGAACGGGTTGGCGGCCAGGGGCTCCGTCCGGTACATCTCCCACAGCAGGTAGAGGGCGGTGAGCCGCTGCGGGGAGCTGGGCAGCAGGTCCGGCTGCTGGAGAAGCATGACTAGCACCGAGCCCACCCGGAAGTGCTCTGCTTTGCCAAAGTAATGATGGAAGTGAGTGGAAAGAGTCTCGAAGGAGTTGGAGCAGGCCTCCTCCGAGATGATGCTCAGCAGGTTGGACAGTTCCTTCGGAGCTAGGCTCATCGTCTCCTCCGGTTCTGTTCAGCTGCGGGGAAGTTCTGCTCCGTTTTTAAAACTAGTTATTGTTGGAAAAATACCGGGACAAGACGTGCTAATCCATGGTTGTGAAGTGAATCAGAAAGTCAACGATATTAGCATCCTGGAGTTGTGTTAGCCTCCACTTAGCTTAGCTTAGCGTTTTCCAGGACTCAGCTTTTGGTCTGACTTATTTTCAACAATAATTGACTATTTAACAACAAAACAATCTTAACGAACAAGCAATTAGCGACAAAATAAACTCCAAAAGCAATATAAGTGCCTGTTATGGCTGTAAAAGTAGGTTCTTAATGTGCCGCACTACCCGTTTAAATTTCTTGTGACCTTTACCTCGAGGTGCACTGTGGGTAATGGAGTTTCCACGTGTTCCTTCGTCTGACCGAGCAGACTCTTCTCCGGCTGTTAAACATTATAGAGCTCTCCCTGCTGGAAGGAGTGCTCCAGTGCAGCCAGACCTCCTCCTCCTCCTCCTTCTACAGCCAGCCTGGTGGCTCATGGAAACCCAGACCTGATCTACAGCAGCAACCACCTGGACAGACAGATCCTCCAGGCCTTCAGGAGCTCCCAGTGGGTTTGAGAACTGGAACCTGTGGCGGCGGCATGGATCCCAGCTGCTTTACTTTACAGATTAATGAGATTTTCTTGTAAATGTTTGTGTTTATTTGTCGTTCTTTGGGATGACAAGTGGCTCTGTGCAGCTCTGGACTGTTTGGACTTCCTTCCTGACCAGCCGGTGGTGGAACTGAGCAGGGAGCTTCATTTCTGCTTCCTTCAAGAAAAGGAGAGCTGCGACCCAGAACCAGCAGGAGGAGGCAAGTCCTTCAGTCAAAAGAGTTGTGGCTTTGTTTTAAAAGCACAGCTATGATGCTTTTTACATTATAGTTATTAAAATCGATGCATTTGAGGAAATGAGTAAAACAAACGTAGGAAGTTAAATCCAAAGAAAATATGAAGCTCCAAGCTGTTGGCTAAAATAATAATTTTTATTAATGTTGCAGGTGATTTTTATATCATTCTGGTAGTGAAATGAAGGGAGGCTGTGATTATTTCCTATAAACCACACTCAGATGGGTAGCTATGTTCTTGTAACTAGGGATGTCCCCTTCCGATATTGGTATCGGATATCGGCCCAAAAAAACCGTATCAGATTATATCGGACTGCATCAAAAATCTCCAATATAAGCAGTCTGTTCTGCTTTAAATTCCATTACAGCAATTCTATCCAGCAGCGTCCAGATCCAGCGTGCAAAGTCCACGTGATCAGAAAAGTGTTTGCTAGCAAGGAGCAATGTCGGCCATCTGGCAGTAGTTTTTGTTAAAGTCCAAAAAAGACAGTTTGGCTCAGTGCAACACTTGTCATGCACAAGCTTCCAAAGATTGAACAGAACCGGGGAAGTTTTATACGTCGTCCCCCCTCGATGTGCATTTGAATCAGGATCACAAACCATTACGTGAGGATTTTCGCTGTGTGTAAAATTAAACTTTAGACCGGGGGTATGCGTTTCTGGGACAGGAGGTTCGGTATCCTGCACGTTTTAGTGGTTTCTCTGATTCAACACACTTGATTCACCTGTGCAGCAGCTCATCAGGCTCTGCAGAAACCTTTTAATTACCTGCTGATTAAAATCAGGTGTGTTGAAACAGTAAAAACTAAAACGTGCTGGATACCGGACCTCCAGGCCCAGAATTGAATACCCCTGCTTTAAACACAACTTGTAGCAGTTGGTCAGCGAACAATATTGTGTTTTTTTCCTTATGTCTCTTCCCTCAGCTGTTCACATTTATGCAACCAAAGGTTATTAAAAAGTCACTTGATTAAGCCTTTTCTACATTCCACAATATGAAATAGGTAAAAGTGTGTATGTGCTGATATCATATCGGATTGATATCGGTATCGGTCAATACTGAAGGCTGCAATATCGGTATCATATCGGAAGTGGAAAAAGTTGTATCGGGACCTCCCTACTTGTAACCATATTTAAACATAATTTCTTTTATGTCCTGAAAAGCAAAGATTTAGTAACTCTGTACACCCACCATGAACCCACCATAGTCCAGTTCTATAAAACAAACTGGACTATGGAATGATCTGCCCATCTCAATCCACCAGTCACCTGTTGTGGTTTTTAAATCCACTTTAATGATCTGGCTTTTAAGTCATGAATCTGAACTGGGTTACATTTTAGCCTTTAGAGCTTTTATCAATATTAATTGATCCACGAATCACCATTGTGTAATATTTTAGCTTTATTTAGTGTTTTATTAGTATTATCTGGTGTCATTGACTGTTTTAATTGGCCGATTGGGCGTTTTTTGTTTTATTTTCATGTTTTATTCCGTGTTGTGATGTCTTGTTGATCTTGTATAATTGTTGTACATGGCGCTCTACGCACCATGAGGAGTCCTACTTATCCTGGAAAAATAGTCTTGTGCTTTATAAAAATAAGCCTCGACAAACTAGAACTGCTATTATTAATAATAATAATCCTAAATTTCTTTTCAGTACAGTTGCCAAACTTACACAGAATCATAGCTCTGAACCATCTATTCCCTTAGCCCTCAGCAGCAACGACTTTATGGGATTTTTTACAAGTAAAATTAATTCTATTAGAAACAAAATCTTTAGCATGGGGTGGGGTGGGGGGGTGGGGTTGTGGATGCCCAATTATGTCCCCCTCCTAAAGTAGGTAGTTGTGCCCCGGTTTGGATAAATAGTTATTTTGTTTAATTTAGTCGTTATTTTGTTTTTGACTTTCCTCATTAGATTTATTACCACCATTTGGGCTTGTTTAGTAAATAGCCGTTGGGTTTTGTCTTCTTTAAATCTATTGGATTTTGTGTGATGTTGGGTAAGAATCTGGTTTTAATTATTCTGTTTTGGTTTAATTGGTCATTTGCTTCAGTACCTCCCTGAGGCTTATTTCCTCAGGTGTTTTAAGTGAATCCTTTAGTCATTTGCATGTTTTGTTTATACTTATTTTGTTTAACCAAATAAAAACATTGTTTTTCTCCCTTAGTTATTCCAATAAGGACTGAGAATTTGTGTTTTGCCTTTTGTTAATAAAGCACAGATAATTTTTGTATGTCTCGCTCTCACATCTACTCCCCTCTGCACAGCGACTTTCACCCTCAGGGGTGTAACATGAAGGCTAACAGACTTTATTAACCATTTATTCCAAAACACTGACTTAGATGACACTTTTTATTCATGAAAATTACAACATGCTTTTGTAAAACCTTACCAAGATGGCACAGCACAAGCTGCAGCCAGTTACAGCAGCTCTTACGTCTTTTCTTTCTTTTTTATTGTCTGCTTGTCTTGTGTTGCATGTTTTTAATGCTGTTATTGGGGGCACATGTCCCCTGAACCGCACCATCCACAGGAGGACTTTTTAGTGATTTGTGTAAAATTTTTTTACTGCTTTCTAAACTTGGTGGGAACGCACTGGGAAATTCCTCCGGCTCCATCCATGAACCTATTGTTTACACCAGGGATCAGCTGTTGGCGCTGTGGACACCGGCGCTCATCTCCACAGAAGAGCCGACTCTGCCTCCAGAATTAAGGAGGAAACGAACGTGACTAGAATGGGTATGACGAACAAGTTGTGTTATTATTAAACGGTGACTTTTCTATTGCTACCTGGACCTTATTTCTACTATGCAATACGTTCATTTACTCACCCAGAAAACTTTGGTGCTGTTTGGGGTTCGAGAAAAATCCATCTACGATCGACATATATCCATGATGGGAGCTGCTGTGGCAGCAGTGCTGCCTCTAAATAAGGCATTATCTGCCACCAAAGTCCTGTTACCCTGCCAGTTTGGAGTGTCTCGGACGTTCTTTGTTTTAGTATCAGTGGTCCTTTATAGTCGTTTAGTGAAACTAGCCAGTGGTGATTTCAGTGACGTCACGACCGTTCCCTAATTATTATTAGTAGTTATTTATTTATTATTTAGATTCATTTAGAGTCTGCATTGCTACCCCAACAACTCCAGCTATGTGAATATATGAGTAGAAACCAAGCCCCCACAATGCGGGACAGAAATTGAGGCCAACGCGGAAGTGAAATAAATTGCAGTTCCACCCTCATCCGCTGGGGGCTGGTGTCAGAAGCGAGCAAATCCTCATTGACCAATGTTGGGAGTAACGCCGTTTAAATATAACGGCGTTACTAACGGCGTTCTTTTTTAGGTAACGGAATAATCTAATTAATTACTTTTCCCACTGTTGCAACGCCGTTACCGTTACTGGGGACGGAAGGTTGTGTGTTACTATGAGCTTGTCGAACGTTGAGTAACAGTGTGAGGCTTTCTGACCGCCACACTTCAGCTGCAGCCAGGGAGAGAGAGGTGTCGGTAACACACTTACAAACACGATGATGATTGGTCGGGTGGGCGGAGACCCTCAGTGTCTCAGTCACTGCCTGCTGTAGACCCAACTGAGCAGTGATGGGAATAACGCCGTTTAAAATAACCGCGTTAATAAAAAAAATATTTCTTTCTGTAACGAGCAAACTAATTAATTACCGTCTTCTTTTATCAAAACGTTGTTTCTGTTACTGATAAGGAAATGCGTGCGTTAATCAGCGCGGTGTGTTGAAGCTGTCATCAGCTGATCAGGAGCTGAAGAGGCAGATGTTTTCATCCAAGCGCATCACGGCCGTGAAGAACGAGGAAGACGTGATGAATAGTCTACGACTGCAGGTGTGGATCTGCAGCCGTGCCCTTCTTAGCGTGACAGCGGGACGTCCCGAAGGTCCGCTCACCTGTTCACCGCTCAGACGTCCTGATCTTCTACCTTCCTAGATCATCCAGCTGTAACCTGTTTCTGATCATGTCTTTAGTCACGCTGTAACACTGATGCATCAGTCTCACACGTCATGGAGCTCAGGTGTTATCAGAACTACCTGTGTGTGTTTACCATCCAGCTTCAGCTCTTCTGTGGTTGGGTCTGACCCAAGTTAGTAAATGTAAGTCCTCCATCAGGCTTGTGCCTCTTCTAGTGTCATTTTAAAGGATTTTATTTATTTATTTAACCGTTACTAGATTACCAGCAACAGAAATGCTGCTAAAAACACACAATTATGTGAAGCTGGAAAAATTAAAATGCTGTGCAAAATTACATTAATTTCTGTAATTTAACTAGACTGAGAGACCATTTAAAGGCTCAGGAACCTTTACAGGTGTTTCGATTAGCAATTTTAAATTTTAGCTGATCGGGGTCTTGTTAAATATCACACAGTGACCTTTTAATAGTCTAGATAAGTGTAATGCTCCTGTTAGTAGTTCCTCCTGTTAAGTGCTTATTTACTTAAATTATTCAGGTTTATAAAAAACATTTGGACTTACATTTTATTATGTTCCAGTCATTAGTCATTTATATTTCACTATTGTAGTAATTCTTGCATGCTTTAATGAAAAAAGTAACTAAGTAGTTATTTTTCTTGGTAATTAGTTACTTTTGTAATCTTGTAACTCAGTTAGTAACTGAGTAACTTTTTTGACAAAGTAATCAGTAACTATAACTAATTACTTTTTTAAAGTAACGTTCCCAACACTGTCATTGACTCCCATGTTAAAAATACCAATTTCACAGCAGAAATAAACATGTTTACAGCCTGGTACCAAAACATATTTTAGGTTTAAATGATCTAGTTTACACTCATGACAACTCTGAGTGGGGTGAATTTTTTTCTCACTCTTCTGTTTAAGTGTATTAAAAGCCTAAAATTCTGAATAATTAATGAGCATTAGACCCACGTGACCGCAGAGCTAGCTCCGGGGAAAGGCCTCAGTCTGAGCCTCGGCCTCGCCTGAAAACTGTTCCGTCATTTTCAGTCTCTCAACTTAGACCAGGGGTGTCAAACTCAAACTCACACGGGGCCGAAATGAAACTCTGGGACGGAGTCGAGGGCCTAACTTAATATTTTTTGAAAGAGTGACGGCAAATTTGCACATTTTCTTTATCAACATATAAGCAATTTTGAATCTTTAAATTTGAAAACAAACTTATTTCTGCATTAACCCTGAATGTGGAATAACCAAATTACACACGAGCAAGTCAGTTTTAAATAAAAGGCATCAGTGGTATTCATTACTTGTGGTATAATCAGCATTTTTAAAATCTTTTAAATCTTTAAATCTTTTAAACCTTTTCTCACAGACCAACAACAAATAAAAATATCATTTTATCTTAAATGAAAATGCAACATCGCACCTGTTAACTGTCATGTTTTGGAGCAGAAAAAGAGCATAAAACCAACATATTTAAAGCTCAGTTTGCTCCACTGGTTTACTGTGATGCTCACCTGTTCCAGCCAGATACCTGCATCATGGGGTTGATCTGAGCTGAGGAGGAGACTCCTGTTGTTTTGTTCATCTTCATCGTAATAATGACAACATTAGATGACAACAGGTGCTCACATAGGTTTGTGCTGCTGAACATGTCTGAGCAGCTTGACCACGTTGTTGTGTGTCGGGGAGGAAAAATAACAACTACAGCAGCCACAGAGTCGTGCTGGTTTGAGCGTGTCGCTGCTCGCTGGAGTTATATCAGCTCTGTCTGGAAGTTAGTTGGAAAATTTTCTCTTTCAGTCGTGAACACATTACTGAGCGGCTAGAATCTCCATGTCTGGGCTTCAACGTCAGAAAATAGCTGAGTGAACTCGGCACTGAATGAGAGGAGTGTTTAGTTTGTCCGAGACAGCGGAGCTGCAGACACCGGCAGCAGGCGCTGGAAAAAACACAAAGGAGGGGGCGCGTCGGCTCCGTGCTGACGCCGCAAAGCATCATGGGAGTTGTAGTCTTTGCGGTAAAATCGGCCAGCGGGCCAGTTTTAATATATTTTTGATATTTATCTCGCGGGCCACATATAAATGCTCCGCGGGCCGCATCTGGCCTGCGGGCCTTGAGTCTGACATATGTGACTTAGACCATTAGTTGTAGTGTTTGTGCTTTCTTTTTTTGGATATTTTTGTGCAATTGTTGGACAAAATGACTTGCTGTGGCATTAATTGCACTAATAGAGCGTCCAAGGAGTCTCCACTTCATTTATTTCGGTAAGTAAAATTATATTTATGTATTTTAAGTCACTGCCGAGCTGAGCTTAGATTTTAACATGTACTGTTTAACCATGAAATTTCTGTCTTCTCGATCCCCAGTGAGTCGTGGCAGATGGCTGCTTATACTGATCCAGGATCCTCTTAAAAGGGAGTTTTCCTCTCCACTGTCACTGCATGCTTGCTTAGTATGAGGATTGCTGTAAATTCTCTGACACTAGTCAGTGCCTTGATGCAATTTGCTGTCTTCCTTAATAGGAAACTTTCTACTGATTGGCTTAATGAGCTGACCTGTATTGGAATGTTTACAATGTAAAGTGCCTTGAGACAACTCTTGTCGTGATTTGGCGCTATACTCAATACTTAACAAAAATATATGATTGTTTTACTTAAAAATGTTAATCTAAAGCAGCTAAATAAAGTGATGTATTTTCAGCTGTTTCACTCAAAAATGTTTGTGTAATCAGTTACACCAAAAATCTTTTGTGTATTTTCTGAATAATAGGAGTTGAAAAATATTGAAAATCTTGAGTGAATTACCCCCTATTTAAAAGTTGAGGAATATTGATATTTATAAGATAACACTGAGGTAATTTAAGGCAACTTTAAAAACATCACTTAAAGAGCAAGTCACTCCCAATTCAACTTTTTTTCTGATAAACTATGTGATGGTGTGAATATTAATTTAAGATGCTTAAATTAATAAAAGTTTATTTATTAAACAGAAGATTCTGTAAGATTATTTTCATTCGATAAACTGGAAATGCAGCCCTTTTCTGTGTTTCGTTTCAATAATGAGGCAAATTTAAAAATGAAGAAATTTATTTACTAACAAATTTAAACTGAAAGATTTGAAGCGACAATCATAAAATGACAATTCATGGATGGCAATTTTAATGACAATCCTTAACAGCTTTGATATTACTTGTTTAAAAGCAACCTGTGTTGGATGGAACTAAAATTGAGAATGATGAGTTTTGAATGCGTGAATGCAGTTCTCAGAAGGTTTCTTTCAGAGGGAATGGAAGGTGTTCTGGATGAAATGATGTTTTGCATATAACTGAGTTATTTTTAGAGAAAACAGCATCAAACACATTCTATCGTGTTCTTCCTCACCCAAGACAGGACCCCCTTTGTGGATCCAGATATCAGGAGGATGGGTTCCTCCAAGGTGGCACTTCGGCTGGTAGAATAGACGCAAGTGTCCGATCGTCCGGTCCAGAGATGTCCTGGGTACACGGCTGTACGAAGCATTTGGCAGATGCACGTTCTCGTATTTAAATTAACTTCAGAAATCAATGACTCTGGGAGTCTTGCGTTAGCTGGTTTACGGTTCATTTGTTCTTTAGCCATTCTTGTCGGCATGACAGAATAGCTTGCAGAGGGTCAAGGAGACGGCCGCTTTCCTTTCCTCGTGGTGTCGGTTGAAGAACTGCACGTGAAATCTGTGATGGTTAGATTTTACCAAACTCTCTCAGAACCACTCCCTCTCTCTCCGGAAGAAAGCTTGGTCATGCATCAAAAAACATGTGCTGCAGTTATTGTTATCTGAACTCTGTGTTGGATGACAGTGAAGGTCTTCTTTGCTGAACACATCTTTATAAACCTTATAATAATTATCAATGTAATACCCAAAGCATAATAATCCATTTCATGTGATTAAAATACCTTTATATTTGAACCAAGTGATCATGTATTAATGATTATTTAAACAGTAATAAAATCATGAGTTTATTAATTATTATTTAATTATCATCGTGGCTTGAAGTGTCCTTCTTCTGACAGAGCAGCAGATACTGGTGTTATGATCTTGGCAGACATCGTGGCTCCTTGGGCTTTAATCTGTGGATTCAAAGTACTGTTTGACCCAACTTGACCCAGCTGGGCAAATGTGACCTTTGGCACAAATCAGAGAACCTTCATCACGCTACAACTACATAAATGCATGTCTAATCGTGCTGAAGACACGTGAAGTCAATAGTTTAGCACTTTAGTGCATTTTAGTAAAAATTTTAATTTTCTGCCTAAAACTGTCAGCGTTGTGCCGTTGTCAGGTAAAAACTCTGCACTGCATTTGAATTTAAATCTGCCATCGCTATTGGCTAAGAGGTATCTTAGAATGTTAGCTGGTACCATATGATGTCACAATGTCGTTGTGAGCCTGTGTGTGAGTGTGTTTGTTAGCGGCAAAGCCCTCTCGGTCTGCTAGGCAACAGTATTTGTTGCATTTTTCTAACAGGAAGTGGGAGCTGAGTAAGAATCTGGTAGGGGGTGACTTGCTCTTTAAATATTTCTGTTACAATATAATTTTTGAGTTCTGTGAACTTATTAAGGTTTACAGTGTGGTGCTCAAAAAGAGGACAGTTAAATGAGTACAACTGTTTATTTTCTCTGACAGTTTTAACCAACAACATTGTTAAAAGGAACCATGTGCTAAATAAACAACGCTAAAACTGTTTAAACATTTAATCTTTTCACTTTTCATCTTACAAAGTAGCCATGTGGTTCGAGTTAGGATGATTTCTCTAGACACCTCCTACTTCCAGAGCGAAGAACAGAACGAGGTTAAAGAGCAAGTCACTTCAAATCACCATTTTTTTTGCTGATAAACTATATAAATGAGTGTCTGATTGTGCTGTAGACACATGTAGTCAATAATTCAGCACTCTAGTGCATCTTAGTTAAAATTTAAATATTCTGCCTAAAACTGTCAGCGATGCACCGTCATCAGGCAAAAACTCAGCACTGCATGCCATCACTATTGGCTAAGAGGTACGTTATGATGTTAGATGGTACATTATGATGTCACAATGTCGTGAGTGTGTGTATTTGTTAGAGGCTCCGCCCTCTCAGTCTGCTAGGCAACAGCATTTGTTGCATTTTTCAAACAGGAAGTGGGAGTCGAGTAAGAATCTGGCAGGGGGTGACTTGCTCTTTAAACAGGAAAACCAACATTTACAGACTCAGGCACATGTTCAACTCTTACCTTAAAGAACATGGAGTTACTGAAAATATGTAAAAGAAGAGTAAATGAAAATTCAGTTTTGGAGACATGATCCATTCCCCAGATAATCTCTTAGTTTACACTTTGTTTAAAGGGATGTTGCAGTCAAAACAACACCAAGAGGACGATCAGCTGATCAGTTTGTCTTAATAATTTGGTTGACGCTGTTCTGTAAACACAAGTCATGGGATTTATTAAACATATTTAGTCTGTTCATTACTGATTTAGTGTTGGTAATTACTTCTATATTCATTTAGCAAAAACGTTCAGTTCGATCTGCCATACTCTGGTTACCACACACACACACACACAAACGCACACACACACTTATTCAATAAAGACATAAGGGAATCGACCAGCCACTGGTCAGGCATGCAGACAAACAGGTCCAGAATCTCCACATGGCACTTATAGTCCAGGTCTGCAGCAGAACAACACCTCAATGAAAACTGGCTCAGATGAACGGATGAAACGTGCAGCTTCCCAATAAACCCAACATAATGATCGTTGAGTCGTATAATAATTCATCATCAGCCACTTCTTTTTGGTTGAATGTTTTGGTGTTTAAAAAGCATCTGAATGAAAGAGGAGCTGAAGACGGCTCACCCCTTCTTTCCACCGGAGCCGTCAGCAGCAAGTTACTGCAGCAGCACGTCTTGCTCGCCAGAGTCAGAATGTGTGTTAAAGCTGCATCAGGAACGAGGAAAGTCATTGCATCATAGATTAGTAAACATTTTCACTGGTTTCTACTTTCTATAGAAACTTTAAAGCTGCTTGGTCTTAGGTGAAGTTTTTATGAGAATATTATTATTATTATTATTATCTGACTGAAAACTAGCAGCTGGGTAAAAATAGCAATTATAATCTGGACTTTAAAGGTGCATGAAGTAAGAAAGACATCCTGTGATCAAATCCAGGTACTTTAGTCTTTGTTTCTGAACAAAGAGTGACGACAGTTCGGCGTGTCACGGCCGTTGCCAGTTATGGATCAGCACCAGATTTCAGATGACAAGTGAAGACGAGTCATAAACATCTCACTGCGGCGTTGCCCCTACTTTGGCTCGTCGTTGTTGATTTAAACACCCCGCAGCATTTGCACACATTTATATTTTCTAATAGATCCGTAGCTTTTTATTCAGTTGCTGGAGCCAACATGTCTGGAATCAAAATCTGACATTTTCATTAAAACATGAGACTCTATGGAAGAGAGAGAGTCAGAACGTTTTCACCGTAACGCACAATAACATTTTAAACCTTCTGGATTTTTCTACAAAACAAGTGCAACGTTTTTAAGAGCCTAACCTTAAAAAGACTAAACAAAAGGCATCAGAATATTTATCCAATAAATAAGTAATATAATAATAAAAGTGAAGAATTATTTGCTTGTTAGTAGTTTGTGCAAACCTAAAAAAACATCAAAGCACAACAGAGTTTTGCCCAAAGACAGGACTTCTCAGTCGGCGTAGTGCATGATGGACTCCACGTAGTTTCCAGGAAACAGGCCGGTGGTGGCATTCATCACACCTTCAAACCAGCCATCCTCGTTTTTCTTCACCACATAGATGATCGCTCCTTCCTGGAATGACAACTCGTCCTCCTTGTCTGCCGTGTAGTCGTAGATGGCCACAACTAGACAGCAGAAACAAAAGCTATTACTACTATCTGATGAATATCAGATCAGTTCACACAGTCCCTCCTGTACATCTACAGTTTCTGCTGCTTTCTCACTCATACCACCGTGTCAGAAAGTAATCCAAACCAGCGAAAGCTCTGGATGCTCGCTCACCTTTCTCCAGGTAGCTCCTGGGGGCCCAGGGTGGGTCTTCTTCAGCGTATGGATCACTGTACTCCACCACAGCAGAGTCCTCCTCCCCGTGTCCATCCTCTAATGGCTGTTGAGGGGCTGGAGGCTCCTTGGGTTCTGCCTGGCTCTCAGCAGATGGATGAGGGGGAGGAAGAGTGTCTGAAACTGGAACCGGGACAAGATGATTTCAGTTTCAGTAGTTCACGCGACAACAAGCAGAGAGAGAGACGGCAGCATGCACCCAAAAAGGTCTGTAGTTTATTGTTTCTTCTGTTTACCACAGAGGTTTCACAGATTTTCTTTACTAGTTAAGCAACTGGAAATTTGCCTGAGTTTTATTTTGACAGTTTCTGGATGTTTTATACTGCCTTTGTGTTTTACTTCCTGTCAGGCCCGATATGAACGCAACACTTTGTGGCCAGTGGAAATGCACCCATCAACTATAACGACGGCTAACTGCTGCGCACGGACGTCGCTTCACAGACGTTAGGCTCCGGGTGGAAAGGCCCGGTAAAGGTCAAAAGGTCAAAAACACAGATTTAATTAACTCATTCACTGCCAGCTGTTTCCTGATCGCTAACGGCCTTCGCCGCCAGCGTTTCTCACCGTTTTTACTGTTTTTTTTAAGAGTCACAGAACACCGTGTGCTAGGATGATGTCGACGCCAAAACAACCAAAACAAAGAGGAGACTCACCTCTTACATCAGGAAGAATCCGCGTGTTTCGAGCATTATCCGTTCTTTCATAATCTGTTGTCAAATTGTGATCGGCAGACGCTTTTCCGGTTCGCGCCTCACTTTTTTTACAGGAACGGCCCAAAACGTTCTCCTGACACATGGATTTTCTGCTTCCTGATCACGTGACGTGTGACGTACGTGGATGAAGATCGGCTTTAGAGCTGAGATGTTTGTTCTCTCAGCACAGGGGCTTGTTCCGACGCTCAAACAGTAAAAAAATGCCATTGACGACTTTAGTCGTCAATCTCAGTGAATGAGTTAAATCCAGACTGATGAGCTGGATTATAGAGCAGTACTGTCAATAAACAACCCAGTTAGCAGTGGTTTACTTACTGGACTCCTGGACTCGAGCAACAAACCCCATTAGAGGCAGCTGAGGGGTGAACTGGAGGATGGAGGGGGGAGGGGGGGACGCTGTAAAACATTTAAAGTTGAAGTTAACTAAAACACAAAAAAAAACCCCTAATCCATCAAACCTCCACCAGGCTGCTGCTGGAATGTGGTGTCAGGTTTTCCAGTACATACCCGGGCTCTGGTTGTAGTGGGGACCCCCGTTGACATGGTTCTGCACTGTGATTGGCTGACCAGTCACAGAGGGGGGTCGGCGGTACGGCAGCGACCCCCCCACTTGTTGGGCTGGCTGTCGAGGCTGGGGCCGGTTCATACTGTAGAACTGGACCACAGAATCTGACGCAGCAGAGAGGCCTTGTTAAAAACTTTATTTAGCAAACTGCTCCTGACACACCACAACGGTACAGCAGTAACATGACCGGTCGTAAAATTAGAATATCAGGACAAAAGTAATTCAGCGATTCAATTCAGTTCATTACTGACTGACATATTTCAAATGGTTATCTCTTCAATTCTCATGATTATAACCAGGGACGGGTACCAAATCCGGTACTTTTAAAGGCACCAACCAAATTCCGTGGTACCGACCGAGGACCGATTCACATGATACAAAATGGTGCCTTGTTTAGGTACTATAGAGTTCAGTGCCTGTCCTTCATCAACGAGAACTTGCGAGACAGCGATTTGTCAAGATAGACAACAGCGCATGTGGAAGAGCGTAATGTCGTCAGTCGCTGCAGGCGAGATGTAAACAGAGAAAGCAGCATGGTAGAAAGAACGTGCTCTAAAGTTTGGGTCTACTTCACTAAATGCGATGGGCGACTGGGTGGTGACAACATTGACAACGATCTAAGTGAGTTATCATCATCTTAATGTGCTCCAGCAGGTAAATAAACTGTTGAAGATAATGCTAGCTTGATACCTTAGCTTCCGCAGATAATGGTGCGTTCGCTTTCTCCTCGGTAATTCTGACTTAAGAGTAGGAAAAGTCAACTATTTGAAAAAGAACGGCAAAAGAAAAGAAGATACACAGTAAATTTAGTTCACAGAAAAGATGTTTGCTTCAGTTTAATTTGCAGTTTATAAAACTACAAGGACCCACCATCACAGTTTGTCCAGAGGGGAAAGGAGAGGATTAGGAGTACATGGAGCTGGATTTGGTTTGTGCATCATTTAAAGTTGTTGTTAAAGGTTTTCATATTGAAGAATTTTCTACAACACTACGATGATAAAATAAAAAAACAGTTGTATGTTATATAACACCAAATATATCAAATAAGGTCATATATTGAGAAAAAAATATATTTAATTAAAAAATATTTAATTAACGATTTAACACTCAAATGTATCAAAAACTGCTACAGTTAAGTACCGACATTGATTACTGTGAATTGGTACCCGTCCCTAATCACAACTGACAATTAATGAAAATCCTAAATTCAGTATCTCAGAACATTAGAATGTTGTGAAAAGATTAAATTCAGAAGCCCCCTGGTGCCACGCTCTAATCAGCAATTCACCCAAACACCTGCAAAAGCCTTTCAATGGTCTCTAAGTCTAGTTCTGTAGGCTACACAGCCATGGGGAAGAGTGCTGACTGGACAGTTGTCCAAAAGACGACCTTTGACACCTTACATGAGGAGGGCAAGACCATCGACATTAAAGGTCACTACTAAAGAGGCTGGCTGTTCAGAGCTCTGTGTCCAAGCGCATTAATAGAGAGGAGAAGGGAAGGACAAGATGTGGCAGAAAAAAAGTGTACAAGCAGTCTGGATAACCACACCCTGGAGAGGATTGTGAAACAAAACCCATTCAACAATGTGGGGAGATTCACAAAGAGTGGACTGCAGCTAGAGTCAGAGCTTCAAGAACCACCATGCAGACGTATGCAGGACAGGTTTCAGCTGTTGGGTTCCTGGTGTCAGGCCACTCATGAACAAGAGACGGCATCAGAAGCGTCTCACCTGGGCAAAAGACAAAAGGACTGGACTGCTGCTGAGTGGTCCAAGGATTTATTCTCTGATGAAAGTCAATTTTCCTTTGGAAATCAAGGTCCCAGTGTCTGGAGGAAGAGGAGTGGAACAAAATCCATGTTGCTTGAGGTCCAGTGTAAAGTTTCCAGTCAGTGATGGTTTGGGGTTCCATGTGTTGGTCCATTGGGTTTCTGAGGTCAAAGTTCAACACAGCACCATCGGCTCTCATAACACCTGAGCAGCGCCACAGACGGATGGACCTCATGCCATGCCGCATTGCTGCAGTGATGCAGGCCAAAGGAGCCCCAACTAAATACTGAGTGCTCAGACTTTTCAGGTGGCCAACATTTCTAAAACTCCTTTTTTGCATTGATCTTAATTGATACTCTAATGTTCTGAGATACTGAATTTTCATTAGTCGTCAGTTTAAACCATCAACACTAAAGAAAGAAAAATTTGAAATGTATCAGTCTGTGTGTAATGAATTAATCTAACATACAAATTTCACCTTTTGAATGAAATTACAGAAATAAATCAACTTTGTCCTGATATTCTAGTTTTATGACCAGCACCTATCTAAAGCTGACCACAGACTGAACTTTGTGCTCATTGGTTTTCATCAAACAGAAAACAAGAAGAGAGACAGATCAAAAGAGAGGATGTGAGATGTTTGGGCCTCAGAGGAACTCACCTTCTGTAGGTGATGAGGAGGAGGGAGGGGCAGGAGGAGGGAGAGACTGAAGCTCTTCAGGGGTGCTGAGGGCAGGGTTAGGTGGTGGTGGGGTGTTACTGATAGATGAGTCTGTGTTGTGTGATGGGGAATTCAATGGAAGAGGTGCATTGTGTTGAGTTAATGTTGTGGTGGATGAGGAAGACGAGAACGAGGAAGGGGTTGGTGAGGGAGAGGGGGAGGAGTTAGGAGCAGTGGAGGAGGAGCTAGATGGTCCAGCAGTCGGGGAGACTTCAGGGAGGAGAGGAAGGAAGAAGAGGAGCTGGTTAAGAAGAACGATTAGAGAAGGAAGCAAATGATGTTGTCGTTGTAACATCACAGCCAGAACAGTAGTTTGGTATTTTTACCAGATGAACCTGAAATTTCATCTGACTCCTCATGACAAGTTTGAACTGATCCTGGAAAAGGAAGCAGATTCACACGAAACCTTTAAACACTGAAAAAGGGTCTTTCTGTGGATCAACTTTAAATAAAGTTCTTTACTTTTTTACACCTAAAACATTCAGGTTATCCCAAACCATTATTTTTTTTTGGTTCAAGTACACAAAGCTTTAATTATACATCCAGATCAAAGCAAAGTAAAAAACGACTTCAGATTGTTTAGCTAAACCTGATTATTTAAGTGTAAAAGTTGAACTTTTTTGAAGTTGATCCACAGGAAGACTTCCAGTGAAGGGAACCGGAGAGATGATTTGAATCCAGATCAATAAAAAAATTAATTCAATGTTCCACACCTTTAATAACTTACTTTCAGAATTTGTATTTTTTTTTACCAAATTCAGGAGAAATCATATAAAAACAAAAAGAAACAACTATAAACACGCCCCAGGAAGGAGGTTAAGGCGTGTGCATCTGTTACCTGGGAAGGTGGAGGGTGGGGAGGGCGTGGGCACGGCGATGGGAACCCCCACGCTGCCGCTACCGCTGTTTTCCCTGCTGCTGCTCCGACTGCTGCTGCTGGGGTGGCTGCCTCCACTGCTGCCACTACACACACACACACACACACACACACACAGGGAATTATTCTTTTTTACTTATGTTCTCTTTAACATAAACGTTTTGCTTCTCTAAGTTTATCGTGTAAAACAGAATGAATGTAATAATTCATCTCTCTGTCATAATTCTATCACATGTGCATGGGACGCAAACCATCTGTGGCTATTTACAACACGGTGTTTCTGTGGAGACATGAGGATACGTTCATAAAAACCAAACACGACACAGAACAGTGCAGCAGTGGTGAGACGAGAAACAGAAACCTGCAGAGAAAAAGCAGCAACAGGTTTGGTTATTTCCAGCAGAAAAGCCATGAAATGAGAGAAAATGAGATGCAGTCTGATGGTTTTAGACAACAACTGGACTGAATTGGTACATTTTAATCTTCTCATGACGTTTGCTTGAATTTGAGCAAAAAATGAAACCATTTGACACTAAATTAATTTAAATAGAAACTGCAGCATTGACTTTAAATAAATAAAATGACTGTATATAAAAAGAGCCATGTGATCTTCTGAATGAAACTAGTGAAGGATGTATTACATCAGTTAGTTTTGGGGTAAAAGAAGGTATTTATTTACAGTTTAATGACACCAGAAGAACAAAGAAATACAGCAGAGATGTTAAAGCAGACTGATCAAGCCAAGACAACAAACAGAAATGCAAACAAGGACGTAATGAAGGGTTAGTCTAATGATGCTCAAGCTGTGTATTCAACACACCTGTCCGTTTAGCCTCACACTCAGGTACAACAGTGGTGAGATAAGCATTTCTAACTCTATAGTGCATACTAAAACATTCAGAGGTGTTGAATATCAGGAGGGTTTATTTCTGTCAGCGGAATAAGAAGAGTGGCACCGAAGCTCTGCTCAGGCAGCCATGTTTAAACGCCGACCTGGCTACCTGTATGTTCGGGGCCGATGGTTCAGCGTGGCGGTCCGACCCGGACTGGGAAGCTGTCCAGCAGCTGAATTATTTCTGGTTGGACTGGACACATAATCATTGGGAACCACTGGGGGGCGCACTGGTTCCAGAGTCCTGTACGGGGAGTTCTTCCTGTGCATGCAATAGGTAGGGGTGAGATAGGGTCAGCACAGGTTCTGGTGATCTGTTCCTTTGACTTCCTGCTGGGTTTGAACCTTGACCTGCTGAACAGGAACATACATGTTCATACAAGAATGTGCATGCATGAACATACATGCAGTCAGATGTAGAAATGAGGCCAGCTCACGGAGGTCTAAACTCATCAGGTTGTGTCGGTACCACAGGAAAATGAGGTTTCAGCAGGAATGATTTTAAACAAACAGCCACAAGAGGATGCTGCAGGACAGTCAGTGTAGAACCTTCTAAAGGCTGTAAAACATCTAGTTTTGACATTTATACAACAAAAATGGCTATAAAACCACCCAAAGCATTAGGACTGAATATTACTGTGCACTGATGGTTCAGCCTCCTTCTAGCTGGGAGGGAAGGGCACAACGGTATAAGGTCACAACTGAAGGTCAGGTTGTATTTTTAGAACATTACAATTAACCCAGCACCACTAAAGAGGAGGAAATGGGACACATAAACACCAAAGAAGGAGAAGAAACAGAAAAAAAAAACATATTTTCACTGTAAACATTTTCCCCCAAAATGCACAAAACAGTTCAAGCATAATGAAAATGAACAAAATCAAACAAACACCAAATAGCTATCTGACATCAAGTGGACATCTCCTGGAATAAAAAGTGAAATTGCATAAAAATTCCAAATATTTAGTGATTCTTAAAAAACCTTTTAATAATTAGTGTCCCATCTTATCTTTATCTCGGAAGATTAATTTTAAACTCTGGTTTCCAATCAATCAAATCAAAGATACTTTATTAATCCCAGAGGGAAATTAGAGTTTCAGTACACACAATTCAGAGATCAGACATACATGGGCAAGACACTTGACAAGAATTGGTGACTGTGGTTATTCGCAACCCTGAGTCGTGCTACCTTAATAGAGATAAGAGGGTTACATGAGGATTGGTTCAGGTAGAGGGAAAAAAAGGCACTTCAGAGTTACCCTCCCACCAGGAGGGCAGCTTTGCTCTGAAAAACAACACCTAGGACAGATATGCAACAGACTTCAGACAACACAACATAAGTGTCCACTAGGTGGGGTGGTGGGTTGGGACTATCCCCACTTCAGTTCCTGCAGCCACGATAGAAGCAGCGCATGTCACCTCAGTGTGGATAGGGGGAGGAGCATTGAGGGTTGGAGGGTTGCAGTGACTCTGGATGCTTCAGCGGCCTTCCCGCAATCCCGCCCAGGCTGGGAAAGGAGACAGAGTTGAGTTGCCATAGCGACGGCACATTCCACATATCTTCTGAGGGGGGGATTTTCGTTGTAGCCTTGTTGGCTCAAGGGCGCCAGATTCTGATTAGAAATTGTTTTGGGGCCAGACAGAGATAATTTCCTCTCTGTCTTACAGTTTGTTGGTCCTCAACCTCTCAGAATCCCAATAATGGACATTAAACTATCCCAGTCCGTGCTGATTCGTCCACTCTCTCCTTGATGGCATCCATCTTTTGTGCCAATGAATGAATCTCGGCCAAAGTCCCAAGCATACGATTCACGATTCTCGACAATTATGTGAGTCTGTGAATTCACAGCGTGGTGTAATCCATCTCTGAGCTCTGGGATCAGGCCAATATTCCTAGACAGCTCGTTAATTTTCCGGTAAGCCAGGTATCCTCCAAGGCCAATGAGCAGGAAACCCGATTCAGCCCCAGATGCAGAAGCAGCTTTAAAACAGAAGAAATCCTAATGGTGTTTTTTAATTTTCCAATTAAAAGAGTCTGTAACCTGAATAATAACTGAATCACAGCCTCAACACAACCGGAATAAACGGGTTGTGAATGTTCCTCTGGGTTGTCGAGTGTGCAGATAGTTAGAGAGCCTGTTGTTTGCTGCACATTGCCAGCTCTCTGCTGTTTTTTTCCCTTGACTCTCCATGTGTGTGTGTGTGTGTGTGTGTGTGTGTGTGTGTGTGTGTGTGAGTGAGAAAGAGAGGCACAGTTGGCTTGTTGACCACAACTTTGTTCCAGCCAACTGCTAAGCTGCTTCTGTTCATCTTTTCTAGAAGCACATTTTGGTCTGAATGTCAAAACTTTGGTGAAAAATCAGCTTTACTAAAACAAAACTTCAAGTTAAACATCAACAGTCTTTTCAAATGAAACAGCACCAGTGAAAATGCATCGTGCTGATATGCTAGCTGCTGACCACACGTCAGAGAATAAAATAATCCCCCCATGCTGTCGACTCAGCGTACAGCAGCCGGCTGATCAGCAGGTTACAGGAAAAGGAAAAGTGGACACCAACAAAGACAGCTGGGAGGTCCCAGGCCAGCTGGTTCTGGTCCGGTCAGCCTACTGGGCTCCATGTACATCAGCACTCACAAGCAGGCACGAATTATTAATATCAGCATCTCCTCAACTGTTAAGGGTGACATTTATTAAATGTTATTAAACGATATTTGCTGTTGTGTGTTGGAAGAGCTTGTTGAGGCAAACATAACAGGAAGTTTGGTATTTTCGATCGCTGTCGTAGAGGTTCATGATACGGGGGAGGGGGTGGGGGGTCTCACCATCGCACCCCTGTGCTTCAATAACAAATAACACTAGTACACGTTGGTTTGGTGGGCGGTATAATGTGACCGAGTGAAAAAATAAAGATGGCATCAGCTTGTTTGAAACAACTGTGGACTATTAAGACTTGGGCTTTTGTTTGAGTCTGAGCAGCTAGAGGTACTTAAGTCTCTTATTTAGAGGAAGGACGTACTTGTGTCTTCTTTGACAGAGTATGTCGGATTGCCTCACTGACTGACATAGAAGTGAGTATGTCACATTGTTCATTGCTCTGACTGGTCCTAGCGTTGTCCTATAGGGAGCCTAAGTCACTTTCACACCACGGTTCCCCAGAAGAACGAAAAAACTAATGCAAGTCAACGGAGCTAAAAACGCTATTTTCTAATTCCGCTTGTTTTGTGTCGTGGATTTCACATAAGATGTCTGTGAATTTTAAAGACGCATTTTGATACCAAGAACGCGCTTATTTTCGAATGGGGGGGATGACGATATTTTAGGAAAAGGGCTGTAAGTTCAGCAAACCTCCCACAGGAGGAAAGAACCACCATAAATCTGGTCCTTTGATTAAGTAGCAGCTAGTTTGGGGAGAGGAGATTATGTGTTAATTGGCGACGCGCCAATTTCTGGAATGTAGTCATGCTAATTACGAACATTTACAAGCTGTTAAATCTCAAAGTACGTGACCGGCGTGGTCGAAACACCCATCATTACTTTTCAATTAAATTGCAGTACAACATATGTGTGATCCAGGGCGTAAGGCAAAGCGGATTAGAAAATAGTGTTTTTAGCCCCGTTGACTTGCACTCATTTTTTCGTTCTTCTGGGTGACCCATGATGCGGAAGTGAATTAGGCTCCCTATAGCATGCAAAGACAGTTGAAAGACAGTTGTAGATCCTGCCCTACGACTGAGATCTGCCTACGGGTCATGGCCATATAGGACGCTTTGCCAGGCTACACCTGCCCTCCTCCTGGAGTCTAACATCACAGCAATCTGTGACAGGAATTGCAACAAATTGGTATTTATGAGTTTTTGCCTGGGATTCAAAGTCTGGGTCATGTGACATAACTGAAAAGAAATAGCAACAGATGAGCAAATTTTACTATTGTAATCGTCACGAAGCTTTTTACTCAGGTCTCAATTAGATGCTAATCTTTATGCCTTTATGCAAATGTTTTTGGTTGGTAACCCCTCCCAGGGTTGTACCGCGTTTCTGACACAATCTGACCAAGGCAGCTTCCAGACCACTGTTATACCGCTAACTATTTAGGGCAGAAATACACCTCACAAATGTATGCACAAATCCTTACCTACAGGTTGTAAGTAAACGTTTTAGTAGGTAAATGTTATTTATATAGCAGGCATCACAGACAGAGAATCACAAAGTGTTTCACATAGATCAAAAACAGAACAAAACAAATCATAAAGTCAATAAATCATAATAATCTTAAATCTGAAATACATTTAAATAAAAAAAATAAGGAATTATAAAAAAAAAATGAAAGGTGATTACAAAATTGAGTTAAAAATAAGAAAACAAAAGATTTAGGTAAAAGCAGCTTTAAATAAAAGGGTCTTCAGCTGTTTTTTTTAACCCTCCCACTGTCTTATCAGGTGACCCCTCCAGGAAAGATGATTATTGAGCAGCGTTGATGGTTTAACCAGCAGGGGGTGAGGAGTGAGAACCACCTCACCCCTGCCAAGGGATAAACCATCAGCCCTGCTCAGTGGTCGCCTTTCCTGGAGGGGTCACCCGATAGGACAGTGGGAGGTGTCCAGACTGTCAACACTAAGTAAGGATAAAGGAAGATCATTCCAAAGTCGGGGTGCAACAGTCTGGAAGAAGCGATCACCTCGACTTTTATATCTGGTCATTGGAACTTCTAGAAGGTTCTGGTGTGTGGACCTGAGGGCTCGGGTTGGAGCATGAGGCTTTAACAGTTCAGTAATGTAGGGAGGAGCTTGACCATGTAGAGCATTGAAAGTTCTAGTCAGGATTCTAACATGAACTCTAAAGTTAACGGGTAACCAGTGCAGAGACAGTAGAATAGGAGTGATGTGTGCTCTTCTGTTTGCTCCAGTTAGGAGCCTCACTGCAGAGTTCTGGACCAACTGAAGGAGGTCAAGGGCTTTTTTGTTAAAACACGTGAAAAGTGTGTTACAGTAATCTAGACGGGAGGAGATAAAGGCATGGAGAACCATTTCAAGTTCATGTTTTGACACCAACCTTCGCAGTTTGGAGATATTTAGGTAATCTCCTTTGCTAATGCTGTCTTGTAACTCGTTGGCGCTTGCAGGACTGGATTTAATGAACTCAAATAAATAACACCTACTTGTGTTGTTGAGAAGTGAAGCCATGTTTAGGGGTGCTGGAATGTTGCACTTTTAGAGCCTCTGGTCTACACAGTAGAGCTGTGGGGCTGCTCTGACACACCTGACTTTACCAGCAGGTGATTGGGAGGTTTCTGCAGAGCTTGACGTCCTGATGCACAGGTAACTAAACCAATGAATCAGGTGTGCTGAAGCAGGAAAACAACTAAAACATGCAGGATAGTAGACCTTTAGCAGTATCTCCTGGAGTCTCACCTGTATCTCTAAATACCACACTGATTATTGTGTGCTGCAGGGAAGACATTAACTAACAATTATAAATGTGTTAACAAAATATACAAAAAGTACTAAAAAAAACCTTTCAGCATATTCAAGCTAAAAGGGCTGGAGGGCTAGTCTGCAGCTGACAGATTATTGACACACGAACAAAGTTGTCCTATAAGATAAGATGAAGAAAAAGAAGAACAAAGACCTGTCAAAAAGATATCTGTGAGGTGAAAGTAAACAAAGTGACAGATTAGAGTGAGAGAAACAGTAAAATAGAAACAGTAATGAATGAAAGGGAGGTGAAGACAGAGGGAAAGGAGAGATACAGCTGGATGACCTAGATGTTTCACAGAAGAGAACAAAAACAAGCTTTCACAACGGATGACGCTATCTTTCAGAGCACTGCACTGACCCCTCTGCTGGGTCAGATCTGCAGCAGTCTTGCCTCAGGACCCCTCTGTCTGTCTACAGGAGTCGCACGCAAGCTGCAACCTGTTAACAGCCGAAGCATCTGTAGAGCAGATTCCTCTTCATTCTTCATTTATGTTGATGAAAGTTGGAAATCCCTCATCATCCAGAGATGTAATTCTCTCAGTCAAAGCACCAAGACAGTAAAACAAAACAAGACGCGATACCAGAAAGCACACTAAGTAAATGACATTGAAAACATCTACGCGCAAACAATGAGACAAAGTAGAAACAGGCTGTTGGGCGTACATACCCTAAGATCCCCTTGCCTGCCCTTGGAGGGCTGGGTGGTTTTTGATTTGGAGGGGTGGACCGGGATAGGTTCCCTCCTAGTTTCTGACTCTGCTGGCCATTCACCTACAGAAAAACATTAAAGAGCTCCCTTTAGGACTCTGATGGTGACCAATATGTGTCATGTTACTAGAAACCTTCAACTTTAGGCTACACCACTAAGCGATGTTAGTATAACAGCATCTTGACAAACCCATCCATCCATTATCTGAACCCGCTTGTCCATGCAAGGTTGCAGGGGTCTGGTGTCTATCTCCAGCAGTCAATGGGCAAACAGGTGGGGTACACCTTGGACAGATTGCCGGTCCATTGCAGAATTTTGACAACATACAACCAATATGAAAAGCTTGTCTTGTTGCTTTGGTTAAAGGCCAATCCTCTCTACATCAACAGGTCTGAGATGTCATAAAAACTCCTGTGTGGTGTGTAGGTGTGCTGTGCATCCTTACCTTGAACTTCATCAACCACTTAATACATCAGTGAAAGCAGGTGGAGCAGGAGGAACGGGAGACAGGAGAAAATTCATCTAGAGATTAGTGACAGAGCAACAACATGCAATCTCACCAGTTACTAGAAACAACAGCTAAAATCTACAAAGCATGAAGACGTTAATATAAAGAGACAGACTGAGTTCTGTAGAAGCAGCAATCCCAAAGAGCACTTTTAAATACATTGGTGTGAAAACAGAAACAGAGATATGTTATGTTCCACACAGTTAAAACTACAATCCAGAGATTTTTTTAATCCGACGGCACAACACATTATCACACCCAAAGCGTCGAAAAATGACGATGGGTGACCAAGCGTTTGTTCCCGACGCATCGGGACTCCCAACTCGTCGGGAGGCGACGTGCTGTGATAGTGTTGGTTTCTGACAACCTGCTGTAAAATGCACATTTAACCAACATTTAACCTCTAACCTCTGCTATCAAATGTTTCCCTCACCTACATCCTAACCTTAACCCAGTTTCTCATTCTAAACTTAACTGTTTTTGAGAGGGACGTTACAACTAGAAACAAAGTTTTGCATGCGCTTTTTTTTATTGCAAGTGGGTTAAGGTTAGGATGAGGGTGAGGGAAAGGTTAAATTGCTAGAGGGTAAAGGTCATAATTCGGTGAAATCTTCGTTTTACCGCGGCAGTCAGAAAACGACGCTCTGGCACAGTGTGTCGCCTCCCGACGCACTGGGGCTCCCAACGCATCGGAAACAAATGCTTGGTCACCCATCGTCATTTTTCAACACTTCGGGTGTGAGAACGTGTTGGACGGCACCATATAGAGGCCGACAAATGTATCACACCATTAGCCTTTCTTTTCACTTCCGTGTTTACACCTCTTGTTCATGAACATGCTCTTCTAGACATGCCAAAGAGGGATAAAACACATTATTTTGACTATTATTATTCTCACGTTATTTTGGTGATTCATATTTTAAAGACGTATTTGTCCATTAGAAAGGTCACCAACTCGGCATCAATCTAGATACGTTAGCAATCACAGCTCTCAACCAGTTTGATTGGTTGATTGGCAGGACGATGGGACAGAACGAACAACTAAGATGGCATTGGCTCGTTTGAAACAGCTTAGGCACCAACTTTTGACTATTCAGACTTGGGCTTTTCTTTGAGTCAAGAGCAGTTAGAGGTAGTTAGAAAAAGGATGCGACTCCTTCAACTGTGTATGGAGGACTGCCCCATTGACTATGTCACATTGTTTGTTGTTTAATAGCATGCAGGGGCAGTTTGAAAGACAGCCGTAGATTCCACACTATGACCAAGCTCAGTCTATGGGTCGTGGCCAGACTATATGTTCACTTATATAGGATGGCTTGCCAGGCTAACATAATTCCTGAAAGGGGGAAAACTCTGGATTGTAACTTTAAAGTACATATTTTACGTATTAAATAGTGGTTATAACTGTCTCCATCTCACCTTAGTAACACTAGAAAACAAATGTTTGTCATCTCTTCATGAACAGTAGAAAGACACAAGATTGCAGATATTAACTCATTGGTTTAAGAACTTTGGCTTATTGGGTATTGTCATCTTTTAGTTCTTTTTAAAACACAGAAAGGTTTTATTTACCTGCAACGTTTCGTTTGCGGCTGAAACTTCATCAAGCTGACGCTGATGGTGGCGTCACTTCCTTCTCTGTTTATCTGCGGGCAGCAGAGGACGTTGTAGCCCTCTGCTGCCTGCTCTCCCCTCTCCGACGATGCAGTCCCATGCGCGATCCAACGAGTAAATTCCATCGTCTCTGTTCATGGTCCCACATCCACGTCTCTTTATCTCGATAGCTTCTTTTATCCATCTTTTGTATTTCTGTTGTTCGGTGTTTATGATCCTTGTGTTGTACCAGTCCATTATATGGTTTTCTCTTGTGCAGTGATCTGTTACGGCTGACTTCTTTATTGTGCTTTCTGCTTCTTCTTTTGCTGCTCTTGTGTGCTTTCGACTTGCCTCTTTCTCGCACTCCTTTCTAAAATCGGTGAAGGAAGTGACGCCACCATCAGCGTCAGCCTGACGAAGTTTGCAGCCGCAAACGAAATGTTGCAGGTAAATAAAACCTTTCTGTGTTTTAAAAAGAACTAAAAGATGGAATTAGAATTTCAACACAGCAAGAACACACCAAAGATGTTCATTGGGTAATGATGCTATTGCTCAACCTTGAAGCACCTTGTGGTTTTTATCTTGAGAGGCACTTTTTCTATTGAGCTGTTATTTATCAATATGACTTTGTTGTTATTATTTGTTTACTTAAAATCCTTAAAAAGAAAAAAAAGAGTGACATGCAGTGAAGTCTACAACCAACCAGTCACCTACTTTGACTCCATGTCCGGTGTCATCCAGAACACTGTAGTCAATGGGCTTCCTGATGTAGCGCACAGGTCTCTCTTGATTGGCTGGAGCAATGATTTTATGAGCACGAGATGTGTTTTTGTTGGTGGTCAGGATGCCAATCTCCCGCCTTGCTACCTTCTCCTTATGAATGTCAACCGTCTGGTTGGAGGAAACAAAAATATAAACAATATGATATGCATTTGCAGTGCTTTCCCTGCTCAGGCCTAAATATTCCAGCTAAGTATAATTTCAAACCTCTGCAGGTTAAAGTTACTCTTTTTTTTTTAGCAAAGTCTTTTTATTAACTTTTACGTTTTTAAACAGAAAAATAACACAACACAAAAATAAAAAAACCCACCCCGCTATGCTGGATCAAACTCAAAAAACAAGGTTCAAGTTCATCTGAAAGTATTATCAATGCTGTAACACCAAAGTAATATGTGACTGGTCTAATCTAAATACACAATAGTGTTATCTACATTACTCTACTCAAGTTAAGGTAGGGCTGGGCAATAAATCGAAAATTTAACGTTATCGAAATTTCTGACTTATTGAGATAAATGTTCCCATGTCAATAAATCTGATAATAAAAAAAATGAAAAGATGTGTGTAGATAGGCAGCATTCATGTCCCTTTAAGAAGCTGTACCACCCTGAGTCACGTAAAAATGTGACTCAACGTAATACACATGACAACTCCATCTAGTGGACAACTTTTGTCTCTGCGCATACCTGTAGCTATCGTCCATTTATCGTTATCGAGGTAAAATCCTCAGTATATAGTGATATTGATTTTAGGCCATATCGCCCAGCCTTAAATCAAGTCATTCTTAATATTTCGTATTGTGCTGTTAAGAAGCTAAATGTTTTTGTGAAGGTCTTTCAAAGTTTATTTTTCTTTGAACTTTGGCTATTTTATTAGCCTGACTGTTATCAGGAGTTTGTTTCCCACTTTGAATAAGACCAAAGACCATTTTGAAAACATAAAACAGTATTTAAGAACCATAAAGGACCAACTAAAGGACGATTCTCTCTCAGGGTCAGATTATTTTCTTTTATTTCTTAAAACCATGATTTTCACATCTGTTAGATATTTTTCTTTAGTTATAACTGTTCTTTGTCATCCAGTTGTCCACATTTCTTATTGTAAATATGACATTCCACAATATGCTATCAAGGTATGCTCGTCGTCATCCACCAAAATCCGTAACAATCTCCTGAAAACCAGAAAAACTAGTAATTAAGACCAAGTTAAGAAATCGCAATACAATCTGACTTTTTAGAGGAAATGTCTAAAGAAAAGTAAAGGTGGTTTAGGGCATTTGCACAGAGATGTATGTGTTTATCTGAGAATCCCTGCAAGCTGCTGTCAGGCTAAACATCTCAATGTTTACAGCCTATCGTTAGCATAATGTAAGACTGATGGTTTTGTGGTATGTTCATCAGAAACACTAGTTACATTCCTGAGCATAATCGTATGATTGTTGATTAGAAGACTATATGCAGCAGAAGTACATTAAAAAGAAACACTGGCGGTTTTGCAACAGCTACTTCAATCAATGATTAATTAATTACACTGTTTATGAAATTCAGGAACAAATGTTAGAGTCTGTAATAATGTGCTTCCTTTATTTTCCCACCAACAACACAAAGCCCCGAGGAGTATTCAGTGTGAGAAACACATTCTCACAGCGCCGTGTTCTAACACTGCAGATATTTTTGGAGAGGTTTAATATGGATGACAACCTGTTCTTGAAGCCATGAAGTAAGGAGATGTATTCATATTTTCTAGGGGGGCACTATACATTACCCACTCTCTAGATACAGTGAGGTTTAGCTTTTGAATTTTAAATGAAATATTCAAACACAGAGCAGAGCTTTCCTCTAGAGCAGGGGTGCCAAAGTCTAATTCACACTAGGTCGAAATGAAAAACTGGGACGAAGTCGTGGGCCAAACTCGACATTTTATCAAAAAGTGATGGTAAATGTGCACGTTTTCCTTTATCAACAGATCTTTATGGTTGAACCTTTTCATTTAGAAACAAACCTATTTTTGAATTAACACAGAATGTGGAACAGCCCAATTACACGCGAGCAAGTCGATTTTAAAGTACGCGCACATCAGTGGTATTCTTTACCTATGTCTCATTGTTTAAAATATGAAAAAAAAAGAAAAGGATGCTGTGTGCGTGTACACACACACACACACACACACACACACACACACACACACACACACACACACACACACACACACACACAGCATATTTCCATTATTTTGAATCTTTTAGGTATGTCTGTTTTATGTTTTCTTGTAGTTTGTCCTTTATTCTTATTTTTTAGGGCTGCACGATATTAGGAAAACCTGCGATATTCGATAACAGTGCTTAATATTGCGATATCGATATTACTCACGATAAATGAACAAATACTAAAGTATGCAGTGTTGATGTCGTCTGGCGTGTGACGTCTGCTCTGGGTTCAAAGCAAACAAAAACTAATGCATGAATTCCATTACAACATAACATTTTTATTGCAAAAATATGCAGCTGCACCTGCTACTGTATTAGCAGCAAAACAACAAACTGCATGCATGCAGTTTCTCAGTGACTTTAAAACATCACCTCCACCATAAAACTTTTTCTGATGTTCCAAATACAGAAAAACATCCCTTACCAGGGTTTTTGAATAAATAAAAAAGTCAGAAAATTACTTTAAATGTTAAATAATAGTTAACATCACTTAAATGCAACAGCAAATTCTCTCATTGCTACTGAGCATTTTCTCCACTTATGTGGTTATGATATAAGGCTGTTGCTGCAATTGGAAAGTGAACTGCGCTGGGCCAAACTAGGAGAATATTAAGATTTTCTGAGGGAAAGAGAAAAACAATTGTCTACTTTCAGAAGAGGAACTGGCAAAAAACTACATGGAAAATATGTGAAAACGTTTGTTTTTAACCCCAAATTGAACACGTTTACCTAGATCTTAAAAAGCAGCTCAGATGATGAAACTGCAACTATGATTCTGATAACAAGCTAACAAATTGAACTAGCTCCTCTTAAGATAACCGGCTAGCAGAGCTTCTGACTGACAGTTTATGTGTAGCAGCAAATCAACTATCCTGATTAACAAGGTTATAAAAGCTCATAAATGAAAAATCACTTTGATGTGTGGGGAAACTTTTCCAGGCCCTCTTTAGCAGGGTGGGACTGGGAGGAGAGTGCTGTAGCCTTTTAGCTGGAAGCTAACCGGAGCCACCACCTGGTGGAACACTAGTGACATGGAGGGAGGTGGGTTGGTTCACTGGCACGTATCTGAGTCAGCCCGGTTATTATCAGCTGATTAACAACACCAAGCGGACTCACGTTCACGTTTGAAAGCAGCGCTGATTCCAGAAACCTCAGCACAAAGTGCGTTCGTTGCTCTGAGCCAGCATGACGAACAAGGGAACGGCGCCGCTAACTCAGTTCGGATGTTGCTTTCCATCCTAAGGGTCTACGTAGGGGGCGGGCGTATTACGTGAACGGACCCATCTGATTGGCCGCATACCAGAAGGGCTACATTTGATTGGTCAAATAATACTTCCGTGTAAAAAACAGCTGGTTTACAAAAAGTTGATGTATGACATGGATGGAAATGTTTGAACCAAACATTTATCGCCGTTTTTGACGTGCTTTGCGATGGGCCTATCGCACGTCCTGTTATTGTGATGACGATAATTTTTCGATATATTGTGCAGCCCTATTATTTTTTATTCTCCTTTTTTGCTCCTGTAATTAATGTTATTGCAACTGTGACACCAAACTTTCCCCACTGAGGAACAATAAAGGGAGTTTCTATTATATTTCTATTCTATTCTATCTGTAGCCTTTCCTGTTCCTGTTTTAAAGTAGGTTAAATATTTTTTCACAGTTCAACAACTAAAATAAAAAAAAGGAATAATCTTAAATGAAAATTTAATATCTTCTCTATTAACTTCCATGCTTCGGAACAGAAAACGTGCATAAAAACCCCAATTGTTTTTAGTTTGCGCCACTCTGATTTACTGTGATGCTCACCTGTTCAAGCCAGATACCTGCATCTCTCGGTTGGGCTCTGAGCTGAGGAAGGAGTTCATCTAGGGGAATCCTGTGTTGTTCTGTTCATCTTCATTAAAGGGACTTTACAGAGTTTTGAATATTTATGCTCCCGATTGCCACCTCAGGCCAAAAGCGTAACGGCAGCTTCAATAGTAGGCTCGTGCACGAGGCGCGCATGATGTACGTGCACACTCCTTAACGAAAATAACAGCTGAGACAGTCCCGTGTGTGTGTGTGTGTGTGTGTGTGTGGCCCGGAGGACAGAGGACAGGAGAATGCGCAGCTAATTAATCAAATTATTTGGTTCTGTACCTTTCTCTTCAGCACAGCCGACAAAGGTTTATGATGGGTCAGTCCTCCTGCATGCTCAGATTATTCCCTTCTCTTGCTTGAAAAATTGTTCCAAAATGACAGTTGAACCCACATCTTTTTTATTTGTGAATTCAATGCCGTTTGGCGAGTCTCAAATAAAAATTTGGGCATCTTACTGTAAAAAAAAAAAATACCATTAATGTAAAAAATAAACTCTAAATAAACTATGTTCACATCCAGAATCAAACCCAGGTCTTCTGCATGAGAGTCAGACATCTTACTATGTGAGCTAAAGCGCCAGCGACGTATTTTGTATTTGTCACATTTATATCCTTGATGACAGCTGAAACAACGTTCAAAGAACGGTTCGGAGCAAAAATGGCTATTTTGTTGCAAATTTGCAGGAAATATCTAGAAGAAAGTAGCTAAGGGCCCTCAGAAATGTAGCTAGCTTTGTCACTAGGCGTTAGGAACAGCGACAAAGTTGCTGAGTTGGCACTACCTCTCTCTGCTGCTAAAGCTACTGATAGCAAATGCTACGGGCTATGCCTGAGCGTGAACGTGCATGAAGCAGCCTGCTCGACCCGAGCAGCTCTCTTTTTCACAGTAAAAATGCCAGGGCTCATTAGGACCAGGGCATTGCAGGGGAATGTATGAAGAAGAAATGTATTATTTCTATACATGTTTTGGCTGTCAAACTTCCATAATGCCCCTTTAAAGAGGACAGTTAATCACATTTTTGCTGCTAAATATAGAGAGAATCTGA